TCAAGAAGAAAACAAGACTCAGCTCTTCAGAAAAGTGTTCATTAGCTCTGTTTGGCACTGCACTCCCATATACCTGCTCAGATGCAGACCTTGGCTCTGAAGTCAAACATACTGTGAGACTGCTGGGGTCTCCATCATCTTGGAATGATGGATATAATCTGTGAAGAAAGAGAATGTGGTAGGTAGGTAGAGTGCATGCAGACCTAAACAGCTAATGGGTACAATTTTGTCACTAGGGGGACTCTTTTTATGGCCAGAAGTTATACCAGGCATTTGGAGCTCCTGCTCTAGAGGAGGAAGGAAGATTTGGATGAGATAATCCCTGGAAAGCTGTCAGAAATGTCAGAAATTGTACCATAGGTGAAAACTGGTTTGTAAATCTGTCTCTCACATAGCTTACTCACTCTTACACATACACACACATATACATATTAATGAGCATTGTATTTCAGGACGCTTTCAGATTTCAAAGGTTCCTATGCCCTGCTTCTCCGTTAATACCTTTACTATATTTGCTTTAATTAATAAACTAATACATTATTATTTTTAACTAGTATCTATATTTTATTCAGGCTTCCTTAATTTTTCTCTTAGTGTCTTGATATTTTAAGGTCCCTTACAGCATATATTCCACATTATATTTAGTATCAGTTTTTCTGAGCTTTCTCTTGGCTCTTAGACTTTCTTAAATTATTTTTCATTGTTATTAATCCTCATCATTACTGTTGTTATTCTAACCCATAGTGTACAAAGGAGGCCACAGCATAGAGGGGCTGCTCTTATGTTGCCTGGTTTAACACCTCCATGATTCTGTAAAGTGAGCTCGGTGTCACAGATAAGGCTGTGAGGGGAAACCTGCCAGGGGCAGAGCCATCGATGACAGGCTGAGGTGAAGCTCTTCTTGTCAGTCAGGCTGTAGAAGTTGTTGATCTTCCCGTTCTGATTCCACCATGCATTCAGGGCTTCTTGTGCTGCAGTCATCATTCTTTATTGTTGCCACACTGTCTGGGTCAGGAGCCCAGAGTTGCTTAGTATCAGAGTAGTTGTGGCTTCACCATGGAGCAGTGTGAAAGAACATTGGCCCAACAGAGCTTGCTGTAACAAAGCTCTTTTGAAGTGGACAGTTTTTCTTTTCATACATGAATTGTAACTTGGCTTCTCAATGTGTCCTACTAAGTATATAAAAAAACCCTTTATGTTTTTAGGCTTCATATTAAGATTGAGAACTGACTGCTTTCCTAAAAAAATTATTTGATTACAAAGAATATGTAGTGTGAACACTTAAGTATTTTCCAAGTCTAGCCATAAATAGTAAATTTTAAAAGATTTGTAGATAACTCATCTTCTACCTAATTTCTAAAGTGTTCTAAAAGACCCTGTATTAAGAACATTCACTAAAATCCTAAATTTTAATGACATTCTTAAGAGATGGTTTTTTGGGGGCTGACAGGGAGGAAAATATAGTGGTGACGTTTGTCTCACAGCAGTATTACAAAGGGCTTAGGCTTGCCTTGCCTTTTAAGTGCTACAACACATTGCAGGTAATGGTAACCACAGCCTTTGTCAGACATTGTTTTTGAATTCTACTTCCACCGTCTACCATAGTCTTGTACCAAAACTGAGATTCAACAGTCCTTATCTGTAGTACAGGCTGGGGTTAGAAGACACAGTAGTAATATAGCATGTTATGAGATATGGATAATAAAGACCAAATTTCAGTTATCTATAGCGACTCACCCCCTTGGTGGATGTCTCCACTGTGCCCCATCCCAGCTGTGGCACCTGATGTGTCCGGTGCTCTGTAAATGTGAATCAGTTGAAGACACCCTCACCTATCCCATTGTACTTCTTTTAACAATTATTTTACACTTGAATAAGTTGGAATTACAGCATAAATAGCATCCCCCAGTTTACCCCCAAGCCATTTACCTGAGTGTGTACTTCCTACTAAGAAAAAAATATTTTACTCAGCTGTCTCAAAATCAGGAAATTGGCTGCCATCCAAACCATGAAAGTGATGCTAGACATGGATGGTTCACATCTATAATCCCATCTGTTCAGGAGACTGAGAGCTGAGGATCATAATTCACACCCAACCCAGGTTTTAAAAAAAAGTCCATGAAATTTTTAACTCCAAAAATGAAGCAAAATGAAGACTGAAGGCATGGCTCAAGTGGTAAAGTGTCAGCTGTCAACAAGCAAAGTTAGAAGATGAAGCCTCAAGTTCAAGTCCCAGAACCAGCACAAGAAAGCAACATGCCAACTTTGGAGCATTGGAGCCCATAGATTCTTTGTAGCAGTGGATTCACTTCACATCACCTGTGCATTTCATTGTCATGTCTCTTTGGACCAGAAACTTAGGGTTTTTGGATTCTTCTTTGAATTTTGAGGGCTGACACTTAACAAGATTTAGGACCTACTTTTGGAAATGGTCCTCATAAGATATTTCTCCTAAGTGATGGACATCTTGGCAGAAATAGCACAGAAACAGTGTTTCCCATGACATCTCATCAGGTGTGGACAGTTTCAGCTTGTCCTCTTAGATAAGATCCTGGGTTAAGGTAGTATTTATCAGGATTCTTTCCTAAAAAGTTATTCTTTCCTGATTTGTAATTAGTAAGTACTTGGTGATGATATAGTTATTCTGTATCTCATTCCACATCAGTGTTACTTAATTTATATCAGTGTAGATTGGCAGTTTCATTGTGTTATGTGGGTTCTTCTCTAAGAACTGTTACTGTTTATTCTTATTTGACTGGCAGAAATCTCCTCACACTGCTTCTGTATCCTGACTTGTCCATATTGGCCTTAAACCTTTCCTTACCTGTTGCAGGCTCATGTACTACATCCTACTGCAGCCCTTCAGTCAGCGGTTTCTCTAAAGAACTCTGATTCCTTTTATAGGTAAATGGTATTTCAAAGAGAAAATCTAGTGCTAAGTAAGCATATTTATTGCTGTTGAGCTATTGCTGCTTTGGGGCATTCCAAGTAGACAGAGGAAGAGAGGAAAGTGTGTGCATGACACATACAAATGCACATTCATGCCTGTTTGTTCTGGTTCCAACCTACTTCTAGTGCCAAGAGTTGGCGCAAGTGTTTTCTTTTTCAACATTTATAATTTTGTTAAATGGCGGGTTTTAGCTTCATTATCCTTAAGATATTGACTGACTTGATCAATCTCTTGGATTTAATGAATCTTTCAACTTGGAGACCACTCCCTTTCCAAAATGAAGTGGCTGTGGTTTGGATGTTTGGGAGTGTGGTCCTTCTGTGACAATGTTGGAAGGTGAGACATTTAAGTCCATGGCCTAGTGTGAGGTCCCTAAGTCAATTGGGGGCATGTTTACTTAAGTTGTTGAAAATCCATCTCTCTCAGACTTTGTGTTTCAATATGTGATTTTCTTCCACACATGCTCCTAGTACTGCAATACCATCTGCTATTAAGCCCCAGTCAGAGCCAAAGAAATGGGGCTTCTTGATTTTGAACTTTTCAGTGTCCAAAGTTACTAGCTACATAATCCTTTTCATGTAGCCTGCCTCAGATATTTTGTTACAGTAGTAAAAAACAGACTAAAACAGAAAGTTGATACCAAATAAGGTGTTTCCTAATAGCAAATAGCTGAAAGTGTGGAATTATCTTGGAATTGAGGTATAGGCAGAAGTGAAAGAGTTTGGAGGAATAGACTAGGAAAACATAATGCCTTCGGGGAAGTATTAAAGCGTCAGTGAATCCTACAGGTGACTCATTGAGGACTCAGAAGATAGGGAACTAAGTTCTTTTGGAAATTGGACAAAAGGCCGCCCTTGTTGCATTGAGACAAAGTGTCTGTACCCATGAGACTTTACAAAAGGCTGAGATTAGTAACAGTGGACTGGTGGTGACAGAATAACCACCTGCTAAATAGATGAGCCAGAATCCTAATCATCAAGTGTTAACAGTTTGAAGATAAAATGTCCCCAGCTAGCAGCACTATTTGGAGAGGTGCTGAAGGCTTTGAGGGGAGGGTGCCTTCCTTTCGGAGGAGGTGTTGGGAGGTGTGGGAATGTCTTTAGGGGCTTGATCTTGCCCGGGCCTCTTTTTGTATCTCTGCTGCTTTCTGTCCACTATGACGTGAGGACTATCTGTTATCCCATATTGAATCCTTTCTACACTTTCGGCCACCTCCTACCTTCTTGGATGAAACACCCTGCTCAACTGTTGGAGGACTAGGATGAAGGATTCAACTTGTTTCTCATGGGGAACCACAGGCTGTTTTCCCTGACCTTCCTGAAAAACCTTAGTTTTGCTGTGGCTGCCCAGGAGTCCTCTAGCTATTGTCACCTTCCCCCACCTCATTACTGATGACCCTTGCAGATAGTTTCTAGTACTGGTCTCAAAACTCTAGTACATTTGCCAATATGAGGAACCTACATGCAGTTTCAGATTTATGAAGGATTGAAATAAAGTTCAGAGTATTTTACACAGTTATTAAGCTACCTTTCAGCTCTTGAAAACTGACTACTTTATACCTATTATAATTATTCCTTCTCATAAATGTTTTCCCTTAGCAGAAAAAAAAGGTAAGCATGGAATTAACTAACTAAAACCATAAAGTAGAGAAGCAGGCATTTGTAGTTATAGGTTGTTTCCTGTTTTTCACCTTTGTAAATATCTGGAATTTTTTTTCAAGTTGGCTGGTTGGTTGGGTTTCTGTTTTTTTGAGTCATGGAACGACCCTTTAGCTGCCATGAATACCCTGTGGCTGCTTCAGATGCAAGGATTTTGTCATGAGGCCCAAATATTAATGATAAGTACAAAATAGTTTTAGAAAAAGCTACTGATACAAATATGTAGAGCTCCTAAAATTATCATCTCCGTATCATATGTATATATTCTGTCCAACTTAAGTAAATGGTCAGAAATATCACTAATTGACTTTGTGTTACTGGCTGTTAAAGCTCCTTGCCTGGCTGATTTGCTGCTTATTCACTTTCTTTTCTTGGGGTGTTTTCTTTTGCAGAATACATATACCAATGCAGATAAATTACTAGAAGCAGCAGAACAGCTAGCTCAAACTGGGGAATGTGACCCAGAAGAGATTTATCAGGCTGCTCATCAGCTTGAAGACCGGATTCAAGATTTTGTTCGCCGAGTAGAACAACGAAAGATCCTACTGGACATGTCAGTGTCCTTTCATACCCACGTAAAAGAGGTAAGAGAGCAGGAGGCAAAAAATGTAATTTTCACCTAACAATGTCTTTGGACTTCTTGGAAGAAATACGAATGTGTTCAGGTAGCCGGTGTAAGTACATCTGTGCAGACAGGGAAGGTGCTGTGCTGTGCTAGACTTCCTTATCCCAAGAGTGCAACTTTGCCTTCACAACTCTTCACAGTCCAAGCCACCTTTCTCACTGGTCTTGTTCTGTCTTCTCTTCCAAAATCCTTCCTCCTCAGTGCAGTGTCTTTAAATGGTGACACTGACACCTGCGAGGCTGACTATATTCGCTTCTCTTTCCCATGTGCAGTTAGCAGCCGTTCACTTTCTAGTTAGTGTTACATACACATGGCACAGCACTGGTCACGTGGTCTTAGGATAGTGTCATCTCTCTCTCTTTCCCTTGAGTGTTAGAATGTTTGATTCTCTTTGTCTTGTCTGAGAGAAAGAGCGCTGTAGGTGATCTGTTTATAAAAGCAGTCCAGAAGCCCAGGCCAGTCTGGCCCACCTGAGAGGAAGAGAACTGGGCAGATGTCCAGTCTGTCAGTTCCTCATGTGAGCCACAGGGGCACCATTGCCCTGGATGTCTTAGAATGTCTTAGATGCTGCAGAAAAAGCAGCTAACAGCAGCTCACAGATGGAACTGACAGTAAGTCAGGAGGGCTGGAAGCCTCCTATCTGTTATACATAGTACATGACACTTGTCTGTGTTTTGTGGCTACTAATGTTCTTCAGAAGCTTAGGCATCTGGAAAGTATGGGTATGACATCCTGTTATGACAAAGATCTTTTTTTAATTATTGAAATTTAAACTAGTAAGCAGAATCTTCTACTGAGCCTTTCCTGGAGCTTTTTCTTTTTTGTTTTTCATGCTTGTTATTTTTGAGATAGGATTGTGCTTCCTGCAAAGTGTGCTCCTGGACCCCTATTTGCCTGTTGGAGGCATGCTGTCATAACCAAGATGAGAGGTATACACCACTACACCTATTGAGAAGGAGTCTTATAGGCTTTTCTACCAGAGTTGACTTTAAACCACAGAACTGGTATACTCAGTCCCCCCAAGGAGCTTTAAAATCCCAAGACTCTTGGAAAGCTACTGTCCCTGCATTAGGCCTCAGCTCCTTCATCTTAAAAAGAGGTAATGGAAGTATCTATTTTATATGGTAGTTTTAAGAATTGAGGGAGTTAATACATAGACAGTTCTTAGAACAATGTCTGATACATAGGAAATGATTAATAATGCTGCACAGAGTGTGTTATATTTATATACACACACTATATAGAATCATGGATATACACACATGCGTATAATTCCATGTCACTAGATTATCTCCTATTGTAGAGCATTTTAGTACTTTAACATACATTTCTTGAATTCTATCCCTTCACACTACCAACATCATCCACCTAAAAATAAAATAAAAATGAGTTATTGGAAAATTCAATACCTCCAAATTCATTGTAATAAAATCTGTTTATAACTGGGTACCAGTGGCTCATGCCTATAATCCTATTACTCAGGAGGCTGAGATCTGAGGATCCAGGCTTGAAGCCAGCCCAGGCCAGAAAGTCTGTGAGACTCTTATCTGTAATATATATCCCAAGACTTTCTCCCCTAAGTGTGAGCCATCATTACCCAGCTAGGACAGAAAGTGTTTGCATGAAGCAGAACCTGTGATTTAAACCACAAGGTCTACATGACATGGTTTTCAGAAAGGAAACATTGCAGGGTAAGTGGGAGGAATGGCTTTTGTGGAAGTTCTTCAGAGATGAGGTTTGGGTCCTCTGTGACATCAGCATTTTGAGGGAGAAATAACAGTAAAACATTCCCCAGGGAGCAGACCATGGAGAGCCTGTGTTGTCACTTGGCTTGGAAATTATAATTAGTCAAAATACCTTTGGTTTTCACTGATTTGTACTCTAGAAACCTCTAGACTAAGGAGACCTTAAATCTATTTCATGGGTTAAGCAGTTTACTTTCACAGTAGAAAACTTTCAGAGCCTAATTTAAACTTTGCTTTTCATATGAAGAGAACCCAGAATGTTTATCCTGATTGCTTCCTGGACTTAAAGTGACCCCAGGGAAAATGGAAGATGGGTGGCCAGTGGGGTATGCGTAGCAGGATCCCTTCTTACCTCGGCTGCTAGAGTGCAGTTCAGGTGTGCTCCATGTGGCTGTGGTTTATGTACTTTATTTTAGCTCTGGCCTTTTTTTTTTTTTTTTTGGAGGATTTATCTTTCCCTGACCAGCTCCGGACTTTTCTCAATGTCTTTCCTTAGTGCTGTATGAAAGTGTCAAACTCGGGCTGGGAAGGTGGCTCA